GCACACACACACACTCACACACACACACACACACACACGCACACACACACACACACACAAACACACACATGGACACACGCTTACAAACGCACATGTGCACACCAATAGACACACACACACACTCTTCCCTTAAAATAGATCTCTTCCGTACACATCTGTGCACATAGCCATAATGATGCAATAGTATTCTTGCACTCACAAACAGGCTCACAGTCATATGCATATTAATGAACTGTAATTATACTCATAAGCATTTTAAGGTAGATATATACTCAGTATTCTGATTTTAACTCAACGGTATTCAGATACATGCTTTATAGGGCGTAGGAATACTTCTAACAAGATCGGGTACTTGATGATGATGACGATTATATAATTGAGAATAGCTTGGCAAGGAGTTAACCAAAAATTAGTTGATATCAAGCCTGACTACGAAAAGGATGGTATTAATTTGAATCCCCAAAGGGGTGCTATGATCTTGGGGTGGTTTGGGGAGTTTTTAAGCCTCTACACGACATATTTGGCTTGCTTATATATGAAATTAATTCGGAGATTCTGTCTATTAAATAACCTTCCAGGGGTGAAAGAGGTATTTAACCTTTGCAATGGCTCAGTAATTTCACAAATGCTCATTTATTTAAAAAAGGCAACAGGACCTACAATTCCCTTTTAGTAGAAATCACAAACAACCCCAGGAGACAAGCGATCGTGCGATTGAAGCAAAAAGGTTGGACTGAAGATTTCAAAAAAAGGAGAACCAAAAGAAAAGCCCAAGTTTTACAGATAACGTCAATTTCAAAACTGAAGCTGATATCTGTTCCCGCCGCAAGTGTTGGGTTGTTGTGTTTTTTTACATACATTTTCCTTATTTCTTATCAGTTATCCGAAGATGGCATGTTTCAAATGTAAGCAAATGCATGAGGCCAAAAAACCGGCATGTCTCCGTGGAAGAAGGTCAAGGTCAAATGCGGGGCAACTTTGACTAGGACCGATAAGGGCTCTATTGCACTTGTCGTTTTTTTGTTTGGTTTTTTTTTTGGGTGGGGAAAGGGGGGGGGGGTTGCATGTGAACTAAAGCTTGTCATGCGTTTTGAGATAAGGGAATACATGTATAATAAACAGATGAGGATTTCTCATACAACAACCTCGTGTTTAAAGATATTGGTTTCGCCTTTCGTCGTCTTATTTCGTAAAAGTTTAAATATGGTCCTCGTTTTAAAGAAAGGACTGGGTTATTCAGACACAGTCTTTGCACGCAGACATAAAAAACCGTCGGCTTTTTACGAGACAATTGTTGTTCCGTTTATTGCTGTATTTCTACATCTGGCTTCAACATAATGCAGTAGCATAATATTCTTCAGCATCAATAATATATTATTGACTTTCGAACAAGAACTGGCTGCTGATGTTAATAATTGTGTGTTTCTTTTTTCCTTTGCCCCGTCCTACCAAAATGACCCCATCTATTTATGATAACGTTGCGCACTTGCTGAGTTAATTGTGTTTCCGTTTTTGGCGTTCTCTGTTAGGTTGATCTGGGAACCAACAGTAGTTCAGAATACAGAAGACCTAGGATCCAGTATGAAGTAGATTCAAGATTGTTTCTAACCTGCTTCTGAAACATTTCCTTTCAGCCCCGGGGTACTGTCAGGGACTTGGAGCATCACCTTTGAAACAATTGAATCTTTGCGATGCTGGGTTTCCTACTTGAACTTGATATAAATTTGTTCTTATTCTTAAAGAGAGTGCGAGTAAGTAAGACAAGAAAAAGTACCTCGATCAGCCAAACTTAAAAATAATAATAACAATGATAATAGTAATAGTAATGATAACAACAACACTAATAATA